TCAAGGATACACTCAACGGGAGGGGGAGCACTATAGCGAGACTTTCGCTCCCGTCGCTAAGGCTACAACTCTTCGGGTGTTGCTCGCGTTAGCGGCATCCCTCAATCTCGAGGTGGAGCAATTGGACGTTTGCACCGCCTTCCTCTACAGGCTTCTTATGGGAGAAGTCTACATGCGGCAACCCCCGGGGTACGATGACGGTAGCGGAAGGGTGTGGAAGCTCAAGCGTACCCTTTACGGCTTGAAGCAAAGTCCACGCGGATGGTACAAGCGCATCGACGACTTTCTTCTTCAACACGGCTTCGCGCGTAGCGAGTGCGATAGCGCTTTGTACGTGTTGAAGGAGGGGGAGAAGCAATTGGTGCTTTTACTCTACGTCGATGACTTACTCCTCTTCTCCGACTCCAAAGACCTCATTCGGGAGGTCAAGCAACGGCTAGGGGCGGAGTTTGCTATGAGGGACTTGGGGCCGGTCACGTACTATCTTGGGATGCACGTTGACCGTGACCGAGCCAACGGGACCATCCACCTCCACCAAGAGAAGTATGTGAAGGGGGTAGTGGAGAGCTTCGGCATGGGCAATAGCAAACCGGTGGGAACACCACTAGCTACGGGGTTCTCTTGCCTCACGGAAGAGGAAGAATCCACCCTCGATGAAGCCGAAGGGAAGCGGTTTCATTCGCTAGTGGGCTCGCTCATGTATGCCGCCGTTTCTACTCGTCCCGACCTCGCATACGCCGCCGGGGTGCTTGGACGAGTCGTGAGCAACCCTCATACCGAGCATGTGCGCGCGGGAGGACGCGTTCTACGCTACCTCCAAGGCACACCTAACTTGGGGCTCGTGTATGAAGCCGGCCCGATTGAACTCAAGGGCTATGCCGACTCGGACTACGCGGGAGATCCGAGCACGCGCAAGAGTACCTCCGGGTATGTCTTCACCTTGCTTGGGGCGGCCGTGAGTTGGCAAAGCAAGAAGCAACCAACCGTGGCTCTAAGCTCAACGGAAGCGGAGTATATGGCACTCACTCAAGGTGCCATGGAGGCGATATGGCTACGACGTCTTCTAGCGGAGCTTGGGCATCCTCAAACGAACCCAACTCCTCTCTTTTGTGACAACCAAGCCGCCATAAGCCTCTCTCACAACGCGGTCCTTCATGGGCGAACCAAGCATATCGAAGTGAAGCATCACTTCATTCGTGAGGCAGTTGAGAAGGGTGAGGTCAAACTCACTTACATAAGCACCAAAGCTCAACCCGCGGACTTCCTCACTAAACCACTCCCTAAGGATTCATTCCGTGCATGCTGTGAGCGTGTTGGATTGAGCACCTAGTGGCTTGGGTGCAAGGGGGAGTGTTGGAGGTTGCGTGGGGCTAGGTTTTGCCCCCAACCACCGAACGGTGCTGCTTTTGCTTCTCACCTTCGAGTGAGCTGCAGGTTGGCGTGGGGCTGAAGATTGACTTCGGAAGACTCAACCAATTCGGTGCCACATGGCAGCACCAGAAAGTTCGAGACTTGAAGGAACATTCGGATGAGTGAAATTCGAGTGTCGAATTTCACCACTTCGAAATGTTACGAGAACATTCGCGAAGTGTAGCGATGCGATGTTACGAACGCGGTTCGATGTTGATTGCATGATATAAAACTAGTTGCTTTGTATGCATGTTTCATACTGAAAATCAGAGTTTTCTATACACGGTTCAACTCGACACAAAATCCAGAGACTTTCTATCCTTCAATCTTAGAGCACTACCTAGCACGTTGAAAGCCGTATCTCAGCCGATACTTGGGCGAATTACGTGTTCTACGGCTCCTTGGAAAGCCAAGAGTGTGCTCTAGTGATTAGTACAAATCCCAGTTCCTGCAAAGTAGAGGAGAGTCCTTTACATCACGGAAGAGCTGTAGAGTGGTGAGCAATGTCTGGTCCCGAAGTGGGATCAGCCAGTACTACAGAGACCAGCGCAGGAAGCGGAGTAAGAGTCATGAGGTCTCGGAAGAAACATTGCGACGCTTTGGAGTCCAGCGTAAAGAACAGTGAGGCATCCACCGAAGTGGCACCTGGACTAGAATCTAAGCAAGTATCTACACTAGCAAGTGTTACAGGATCAACACTAGAACCTTAGCTAAAGGCACGCGAGCAAACAGATCCAGAAGCGCTAGAGTCAACAACAGCATACATAGCATGTGCAGATTCTAAGAGTCCAAGTAACTGAGAAGCAGACATGCCCTACAAAGCGGGACCGTGCGAGAGAAGAAGGGAAAGCCAGTCGGGGGCGGGGCCATCTGCGTCGTAAGCCGCGCGAAGTCGGTCAGCGCACTGACCGGTGGGTGACGGTGGTCGCAACGGAGGCTGCTGCGAGTACCTGTCTGAATGGGGTAGGGGCATGGTGGGTGAGGGTGTTAGCGCGCGGCAGCTGACGCTGTCCCTGCCCCTGCCTCTGTACCTGTTGATGTCGCTGCTACTGCTACTGCTGCTGATTCTGCCGCTGCTGCCGCCGCCGCCGCTGCTGCTGCTGCTGCTGCTGATTCTGCCGCTGCTGCTGCTGCTGCTGCTGCTGCTGCTGGGCCAGGTACCAGGCCGCCACTCCCGCACCTGCAGCTGGCTGTCCCGCAGGTGCTCGATGAACCCGACCGTCAACTCCACCAGCTGCAGCGGGTGAGCCACTAGAAGCCGCATGAGGCGCTCCACCAACCCCTGCACCCCCGTCACCGCCACTCGCCACGCCACCTCCGCTGCTGGTCTCACCCTTGCCGCCCCTCCTGCCACTCCTAGCCCTAGACCGCGCGGAAGTCGCGGTAGCGGCCGCGGTCTCGTCAGTGGCGGTAGCGGCGAGAAAGGCAGTAAAGGTGGGCAGTTGTGGGATAGTGCATCCGTGAAATAGTGGGGGGGGCCAAAGCACCCGAGGCAGAGGCTACGAGCTTAGGTTGCTTTTGACGTCCTTGAGCGCAGACTCAAGAACGCCGATAGTGAGCTCGCTAAGGGGCTGCAGAAGAAGCACGTCGCGAACTGTGGCAAGACGGACAAGGAGGCTAGTGGCGATGAAATAAATAGCAATCGTGCAAGCTGTGCCTCTGTGTAGGCAGCGCAGCAGCTAGAGTCTAGCGAACGCAGGTGAGCGATCAAGTCAGCAGAACTCTCAAACGAGGCGAGGTCAGGAAACAGGAACGGGAGGAACAGGCGACCAAGTGAGACAGTGGTGGGAGTGGAGCCTTTATTGCAGTGAGGAACTCTCGAGCAGAGCGAACCTGACTGAAGTGCGCCTCCTCGGACTTAGGGAGGAGGCTGCTGAGGGCGATGCGGGCCGCTGCGTTACAAGACTTTCACGCTGTAACGGCAGCCCGCTCGCGAGCAAGCATTCTCTGTCTGCAGCACTGGGGTCAGCGCCTAGCGCATATGGGGCAAGGGGCTCAGGGAGGTCACCGAGGCGTGTGCCCAGAGGGTCTCGTCAGCCTGACACTAACTCTCTAGTAGGCGCTGCGCACAAAAGAACCATACTAAAAACTCTAGCGGTCTACCCTCGGCATCGAAGTGGAGAAGTCTGGGGCCCGCCATAGCTGACTAGCAAGGGGAGATGCGGCTGCCAATTGCCGGGAAAGCCCGAGCAGGGCGGGAACGACTGGCAGTGTGCGGGTGTTTAGGGCATGACGCTTAGGGCGCGGACGAATGGGCGCAGGGCGTGGACGGACAGGCGCAGAGCGCAAAGCACGACGGACGGGCGGGCAGAGCGGACAGACGGACGGGACGGACGGGTGTAGGGCGGAGGCGCAGGGGACGGGATGGACGGAACGGACGGACGGATGGGCGCAGGGCACAGGGGACGTGATGGACGGGACGGACGGGACGGACGGGACGGACAGGACGGACGGGACGGACGGGACGGACGGGCGCAGGGCACGGACGGGCAGGGCATAACGGGACAGGCGGGGCCGACTAGCACAAACGAGCAGGGCGCTACGGGCGGGTACGGGCAGAGCGCTACGGGCGTACGGGCAGAGCGCTACGGCGGGTACGGGCAGAGCGCAAAGGGCGCGCCGGGCAGAGCGCTACGGGTGGGATAATCGGGGCGTAACGGGCGCAACGGGCAGAGCGCAATGGGCGAGACGGGCGCGTTGGGCGCTACGGGTGCTATGAGCGAACCTAACCCAGCTGGTACATGCCTCACTAAAGGCTACAACATTTGACACATGACTCTCGGCTCGGTCATCATCAACTCATTCGCTAATTTTATGGTGTCTTGGAACATCAGGGCTTAGAGTTAAGGATGCAAGAGATGTCACGTACAGCAAGAAGGTTTTAGATTCTTGAATGATTGAACTGATGAACACAACTGCTCCGTCTCGCCGTGTTAAAACATGTGTGCTAGCGTGAACCAGTGTACACTTGAGCTGATTCAGATGGCTTTTTCAGTTGTACACTAAAGTTCACAGCGACGCATGGATGGTGTGGGCGTGTTGCATCCCTGGTTCACCACGCTCCCTTCATCGTAAGGGCATGCTCGAATCAATTCAGGGAGGAACCATGTGCTGAACGGGGAATCGTTCATGTGGAATGAACTTCGTGCTTTGTTCTTTAGGGGTTGCCCAAGTGTACACAACTGCCTTGGTTTTCTATGTGGGTCGTTTGCAGTAGATCAAGTTTGGCACTAATTGCTCAAAACACTTGCAATGACATTCATTATTGCTCACCACACTTGCAACATCAGTTAAAGTTGCTCAAAACACTTGCATCCGCACTAAGAATGCTCAAACACTTGCAACATCATTCAGAATTGCTTAAAACACTTCCAACAACATTCACAATTACACAGAACGAGTTGCTTAGAACACTTGCAACAATCAGAACTGCTCAAATCATTAACAATCAGAATTGATCCAAAAACAGAATTGCTAAAATAAACACTTACAACAATCAGCAACAACTGCTGATTCTAGGCCCTGCATTCTACCAGGTGTCTCGATACTACTAGCTACAACCCTCCTGAGCCGTGAGGCACAGTATGCCATTACACCTTGCATGCGAGGTTGATGATGACGGAACCCCTGGTGAAAGGAAACACACGAGGTCAGACACAGGTAACACCAGAAAACAGAAATATAAACTCCGTAACAAAAAGACGCGATGTGGACGACGAATTTACCGATTGCTGTGGGAGGTGAAAGCCTGGGTATCGGAGTAGGCCCAGATCATGTTGTTGTTACCCAGGTAATTCACAGGGCCCAGACCGCCCTTGCCCATACGAGTGAACCTGAAATGAGGAATGAAATGCACTGGTTAGTGACTTCGCAAAAGGAAGAACCTTCGAGGTGCATAGCGGGTATCAATATCATGGGCGGTTTTGCGCAACGGGAAAGTCGAAGCTCACTTGACGATCTTGCCACCGTCAGAACTGGTAACCACGGATTTCGCGGAGAGCTTCACTGCGGCTACGGCTGCCTTCTTGACCTTGGCCACAGTCTTGCCCGTCATCGCGTAAGCCAGCACGTTGTTCGGCGCGGCTCCCGCCAGATTCCCCACCACGGCGTCGGCAGGAGCCATGAGGCCGGCCTTCTTCGTCCAGCCAATGGAAATCCACCCCGTCTCGCCGCCGCTGCCGGCCTTCGCCTCGATCGCAGCCATGATCCCGTCGTTCTTCTTGGTGATGTTCCAGTGCAGGACAAACAGACTGAGAGCATGGGAATTGGGTGAGAAAGGGTACTAGAAGTTACTCGACATCTGTAAGGCAACAGCATCCCGAAACAATCTTGAACTCAGTAAGTTTTGATGCGGGTGTACGAAACAAAATTGATGATCCGCTCGAATAAATATTCGAGTACTAATTTCGATTCGGGAGGACGCCCCAGACGAGTGTCGGACACGTACCCGTCATCAGTGAGTTTGACGGACTTCGCGTATGGTGCCAGAGTCGACGCGGCGCAGGCTGCGGCGGGCTTGGCAACGGCCGCAATTCCCGAAGAGTGGTGTCGCGCGTATGCGCTGCTCGCCGTAGCGAGGAGCAAAAGAGCGAGCGACGCCGCTAGGAATGAGAACCGGGAGGCCATGATTGCGTTGAGGTGAGATGGGGGCGAGAGATGAGGCTGTTTGGTGGGGTGAGATGAGGGCGTTGGTGGGCTGGATGAGAAATTCAAAAAGTTCCCGTCGCCCTAAATACCGCGTCCAGGCTTCGAAAGGTGGCATGTCTGGTTTGGCTCGGAGAGGCTGGTTAGGATGAAAGGGGTGAGTTTGTCGCAGGTCGCACCGAACCAGATTATTGCCTTACCCCTAACCTTCCCAACCATTCCCCCACCTGACCTCTCCCCTGAACACCCCAAACCGAACGAAGTGAAGCACGTTCGATCAAGGTGTGGCTCGAACAAGAGCAGCCGCGCCTGAGCCCGAACCGAACCAAACGTAGGGTTCATGTGCACTTGCTGGTGTATCGAGATAAGACCTCTGCGAAGCGCACACAGCTTCAATTGCAACATCGGTCCTTGCGGAATGCGGCTCGGAGCCAAATGATCCACGGCGGCAGCGACTCGCAGGTAAGGTGATGTCCGCATTTTGAGCTGACTTGTAGGATCCTTATTTGTTGAAGCTCCCCGTAAGGACGCGATGTATGCAAACCACCTTCAAGAGCGTCTTGTTCAACGAGTGTCAACGTGTACTCCTGCCGACAAGACCAACCAATTCGCACTCATGGTGTGAATTCCACCTTCGGGCCACGTCGTTTGCACAGGTTCGGTGCGTGAAATGCTTTGCGGAACTTCCAGCTCAGCAGCACATGTCACCATCACCAGTGTACCACCTACGGCCGCCTGAGAATTGCATACTCGTTAATACACACTTCGCGTGGTTGTTATCAGTTCCACCTGGTTTTCCTTGTAGTGTTTTATAGCACCAACCAACCATACATGAACATCTCGCCCCATGCCAACAAACCTGAACAGCCTCAGAATATTTCTTATATTACGGTATCTCATACCTTTCGTCGCGATCGTTTTGGTTCGGACAGTATCTTTCGCCTAGCCTTCCCCGTCACGTGTTGTCCATAGGATATTCATGGCGGCTTCTGTTCCTTCCAGCATGCCACGTCGGCTCGTGGTGACCGACGCGTCCATGATTTCCGGACAAGTGGTCGCGAATTTTTGCAAGAGCGTCGGCGTCGGAGTCGGCGAGCCGTTGGATTCCGCGATCCAGTCGACAGCCGTCGTGACGAACGCCAAGCACGTTGGTGCGTGCACGGGATACATATGTTTAGGGTTAAGGTTAGAGAAGGCGACCTATCAGATTATTTAGCTGTGAGTACCCCAGCATGTCGCGACGCGACTTCGGCCAAGCTACTCATGAAAAGGTGACTAAGAAGTCAACTCAGAATACGGTCAACGATTCTTGAGGGGCAAACTTGTCGAAGGCCTCAACGTTAACTGCAGACTCGTCTATCTCGGCAGTTGGCTAGAGAAGCTTCTTCGTGAAGTTTGGCTGGTGAATCGGGAAACGGTAGACTCGTAAAGGACATGTTATCCTCTCCGGCCAACTGCTTACCTTATGACACAGATGATAGCAAGCGGCCTTTGAAACGCTTGATATGCTTCACACCTACTTCTCGTTGGCATTCGGTTACACTCTCCTTACCTTGCAGGCAGCTATAGAATACCCTTCGAACATCTCCGTGAATGCCTCTGAAAAATCCCGTAGTACCTTTCCACCTCTCGACTTTCTTTCTGACGTTCTTAGAACAAGGAAATCGGAGCAGGCTTCCTTCCGACTGCCTTGCTTCGCTCAAAGCCTGCTCTGTCTCTTACCGCCGTTTCATTGTTCCTCAGGTTCCACGAAGCTTCCTGCCATCGCCTCCGGATCCCTCGAGTCCGTTCTTTCCATTGCGGAGCGGCCAGGTCATCATGATGCCACGTGTCTTGCTGAGCTGGCACGCGTGCTGCAGCCCAATGGCACGCTGCTGCTACAGGAGCCCGTGGCTGCCAGATCAGCAGCTGCTGTGGAGCTGGAGGTGGGTGACTGTACAGTTGTTGAGGAACTCCATAACGAGTAATTGTGCTAACGACTGATATTCATTGCGCCCATAATTTCTAATTTTCTAAACCACCTCATTTTTCTATATCCCCCCTTCCTCCCTTTTCCCTCCCTCCCATCCCCTCCCCCTCCCCCCCCTCCCCTCCCCCTCCCCTCCCTTGTTCCTTACATTCTCCCACTTTTTCAATCAATCAGCGTCTGCCTTCGTCGCTCTCCGGTTCGCCCCTGCCCAATCAAGCTGCGCTGGAGAGGACGCTCCTCCTATCAGGCTTCGCCACGTGGCAGGCCGTGAGCCCTGTTGCCGGCGTGGGTTTGGCCCCGGAGTTCACAGGGATCACCCCCGCTGCCATCGGATCAACCCAAGGGCCCCTTCTCGTCCCTGTCACGGTATGGCAATCCTGCATCCCCTATTTCACGTTCTCTTAAGTAAAGCAGGCAATCACGCCTGCTGCCCTTTTATCAACTCGAGTCCCTGATCCCTGTGACGGTATGGCACTTTTGCATTCCCTTATGGTTCCTTCTCTCTGCCTCCCAATCACTGATGTTTCCCGTGCCCATCCTTCCCTCCCTCCCTCCCTCCACCAACCCCCACACTCTCTCAGCTCGAGGCTCGAAAATTCATGTGGCAAGCCAGCTCCTCCTTTTCCCTCCTCAAAAGAATGCTCTTGCCTCCTTTCCCTACCCCCCAGTCATCCAATCCCTCTTTTTCCACCTCCGCTCCCCCCCCCACTAACGGTCCTTTGTTTTAATGCGGGGATAGGCGTAGACATCAATCAGCACTGTAAACCGACTATCCTGCTTCCCAATCCCCCAGTCATCCATTCCCTCTTTTTCCACCTCCGCTCCCCCCCCCACGCTCTCTCAGCTCAAGGCACAGAAACCAGCGTGGCAAACCTATTCCCCCTTTCCCCTGACAAAAGTGTGTTGCGGTGTCTCTAAACACTTCTTTTATCACGTGGTTCCCCCTTTTCCCCGAAAAGAAAGCTGCCTGGCTCCTTACTCTGTTCCTTTGGTTCTGATATCCATCTACTTACTCTGTTTCCATCATGCCCTCCCGCCCTCCAATCCCCCCTCACTCTCTCAGCTCAAGGCACAGAAACCAGCGTGGCAAACCGGCTCCTCCTTTTCCCTCAAGAAAAAAAACTCCTCCTCCCAAACCGCTGCTGCTGCTGCTGCGCCGGCAGCAGCGCCTGCCACGTCAGCAGGGGTGGCGCTCCCGGCTCCCGCCACGTGGCGCGTTGCTACTGGCGGAGCGGGCGGGGAGGAGGATGAGCTGGTGGACGAGGACTCGCTGCTCACAGCAGAGGACTTGGTGGCGCCTGCGCCTCCTCCTGCCAGTGCTGCTGCAGGTGTGGTATTGATTATCATCCATCCAGCTCTAGCAATACTGGCGGAGCGGGCGAAGAGGAGGATTCGCTGCTCACAGCAGAGGACCTGGTGGCTCCTGTGCCTCCCCCGGCCAGTACTGCTGCAGGTGTGGTATTGATTACTGCAGTCTTGATTCATCCATCCAGCTCTAGCAATACTGGTGGAGTGGGCGAGGAGGAGGATGAGGATTTCCTGCGCGCCAACAACACTTGCTGCTCACAGCGGAGGATCTGGTGGCTCCTGTGCTTCCTCCTGCCAGTGCTGCTGCAGGTGTGGTATTGCTGCTTGCATCTAGCACTGCAGGATATATAAGCTGCTGGTGATGCTGCTACGGCATGACTCCTCTCTAGCTACCAGCACTCGCTGCTGAGAGCAAAGGACCTGGTGGCTAGTTTGAGGTGGTTTGAGTCCTTCTCCCCCCCCCCCCACCCCCCCCCCCCCCCCCCCCCTCTCATGCTCTGCTCTCTCCTCCTCTCTTTGCGCATCCACGTATACCGGCTGTGGCACAACCAAGACGGCAAGAAAGGCGTGCAAGAGCTGCACGTGCGGACGGCCCTAAGATGGTGTGACGTGCTTGCATCAACTTTCCCCCTCTCCCTCCTCTCTTTTCCTGCTCTCATCCCAGGTTGTGGCACGGCCAAGACGGCCAGGAAGGCGTGCAAGAGCTGCACGTGCGGACGGGCAGAAATGGTTGAGCCGCGGACCACACTTTTCCTCCCTTACACTCTGTTTTCTGTGCAACCCTCTTGCAGGTTGTGGGACCGCCAAGACGGCCAGGAAGGCGTGCAAGAGCTGCACGTGCGGACGGGCAGAAATGGTTGAGCCGCGGACCACACTTTTCCTCCCTTACACTCTGTTTTCTGTGCAACCCTCTTGCAGGTTGTGGGACCGCCAAGACGGCCAGGAAGGCGTGCAAGAGCTGCACGTGCGGACGGGCAGAAATGGTTGAGCCGCGGACCACACTTTTCCTCCCTTACACTCTGTTTTCTGTGCAACCCTCTTGCAGGTTGTGGGACCGCCAAGACGGCCAGGAAGGCGTGTGCGAACTGCACGTGCGGGCGGGCAGAGATGGAGGCAGCAGAAGAAGCGGGAGGAGCAGAGGGCGCGCAGGGAAAGAGCAAGCTGACTCTCGATCAGATCGCAAACCCTGAGTCAGCGTGTGGCAGTGTGAGTGCGGTGGTGAGGGTGTGTGTGCGGTTGTGAGGGTGTGAGTGCGGTGGTGAGGGTGTGAGTGCGGTCATGAGGGTGTGAGTTGGTGGTGAGGGTGTGAGTTGGTGGTGAGGGTGTGAGTGCGGTGGTGAGGGTGTGAGTGTGGTGGTGAGGGTGTGAGTGCGGTGGTGAGGGTGTGAGTGTGGTGGTGAGGGTGTGAGTGTGGTGGTGAGGGTGTGAGTGTGGTGGTGAGGGTGCTCCAGGTGTAAGAAGCAGGGGGGAAGAGGGAATGCAGGGCAGAGAGGGCAGAGGGAGGCCAGGGGGAAAGCAAGCTGACTCTCGATCAGATCGCCAACCCCGAGTCAGCATGTGGCAGTGTGAGTGCGGTGGTGAGGGTGTGTGTGCGGTTGTGAGGGTACTCGAGGTGTAAGAAGAGGGAATGCAGGGCAGAGGGAGCAGGTGGAACAGGGGGAGGGCAGGGGAAGAGGAAGTTGACCACTCAGGATCCTCTTGCAATCTGATCAGATTGCCAACTCAGGTTCAGCAGCGTGCGGCAGTGTGAGTGCAACACCCACGCCAACCCTCTTGGCAGTGTGGCTTAGGTGCTGCCTTCCGTTGTGCCGGCTGCACCTACCAGAAGCTTCCGCCGTTTGCTGAGCTCAAACGTTTGCTGAGGCTCTAATTGCTCCATGGCAGGCCGTTCACCCTCTCATGCCTCCCCTCTCCTCACTCCGTCCCAGCCCGCATCCTCCCTGCATTGTTGCCCGCACCCTCCCATGCTAGGTGTTGCCTTCCGCTGTGCTGGCTGCCCCTACCGCGGGCCGCCCCCTTTGAGGCGTTCACCCTCTCATGCCTCCCCTCTCCTCACTCCGTCCCAGCCCGCATCCTCCCTGCAATGTGGGCTAGGTGTTGCCTTTCGCTCTGCGTGCTGCCATTACTGCAGGCTGCGCCATTTCAGGCGTGCCATAGCAGCATGGCAGGCAAGCAGACCACCGTATCAAGGCTTTCCTCTACCCACCCTCCACCCCTCCCCACCCCGCACTGCAGTGTGGGCTAGGAGACGCCTTTCGCTGTGCTGGCTGCCCTTACCGCGGGCTACCCCCCTTCAGGCTTGGAGAGAAGGTGAGTGGGGGAGGGGGTGGTGGGGCTAGGGTGACATGCGATGGGGTTAGGTGCCTGTTTTGTAGGCTGCTGTTCTGTAGGCTTTGAGAGGAGGTGAGTGGAGGAAGGAGGGAGGGAGGGAGTAGCGAAGTAGGCCTGGTGGATGAGCTAAGGATGTAGTTGTTTATCATGTATGTATCTATGACACATGCATCCATCATTATGTATGTAAGATGTATGTATCCTTCGTCTATGTGTCTATCATATAGGCATGTATGCTGTATGTGTTTATCAATCTACATTCTGCTTGTGTGTCCTCAGTTTTCTGCCGGTCCTCCCCCCTGCTCCTTCCCTTGCCATCTGTCTGTACAGATGTCCTCCGTCATCTGTTCTACCTTCTCTCTGCTGCCGTCCGTGTAGAAGCCTCGGGATTGAATGAACTCGTTTATTCATGTCTCCTCCTGCTTGCTTCCCCTTACTCCCGCCCTTGCTGTTTCCCCAGATCTCCCTGGGCAGGGCTCGACCCTCTGCTGACGTGTACAAGCCTCCAGTGACTTTTGAAACCACTCAAAGCTCATCCTCGTTCCTGCTGCCCCCCTTTCCCCCTCCCCCTTGCCCCGCTTTTTCCCCTACCCTTGCCATCTAACAGATCTCCCTGGGTAAGGATCTCCTCTCTGCTGATGTGTAGAAGCCTCAAGTTGAGTCCCCTCAAATGTCTCCTTCCTCCTGCTACCCCCCCTTGCCTCCCTCCTTGTTGCCATCTAACAGATCTCCCTGGGTAAGGATCTCCTCTCTGCTGATGTGTAAAAGACTCTGGCTCGAATCAAGAATATTGCTCGTGTGTACAGCGCCAATTCAGCTTGCAGGCCTAACAGTTATGAAAGGGAGGAGTTGGTGTGGCAGATGCAGCAGAAGAGGCAGCGGGAGGGGCAGCAGGCGGGGAGGGAGAGGAGCATGGAATGGAGCAGCTGGTTTGCCTTTACAGGACAGGCTGGCATTGCTTTGTTTCGCATAAGTCTCATGGAGTGTACCAGAGGGTGCACCCTAAACTGTAACCGAACCATCGGTGCACTAGATATGCATTCGTGTCACAACACAGCACTTGCGTTAAACAGCCCACAATACAGATATGACTATTGAGTACCTGGTGATGCTTACTGTGGTCGTTTACTTAGCGCACACTTCATATTCTACCCTACTCACCACAAATTGTACCCAATTTACAAGTATTCAGTACATTATCATACACTACCCCTTCTCCTCCTCCTTCCCCTTCTCCTTCTCCTTCTCATTCTCCTTCCCCTTCTCCTTCTCCTCCTTCCCCTAGTCATTCTCCTTCTTCTCCTTCTCCTTGCGACAGCTTTCTGCCTGCTGATACGGTCATTGAAAGCTCGTCCAACCCAAATCGCGTCTCTGAAATCAAACTCGCACGCCCTGCACTGCATGTCACGTCACGTCATGTCAAGTCAAGTCCAGTTCACGACCGTCAGACGTCCCACGAGCGTACATTGGTCACGCAACGACGGCGCTACTTTTGTACTGTTGACACCTCGCGCACCGAGGACGTATCTCTGGCAGCACTTGGTCATAGTGACAGTCCTAACAAAATAAAAGCGGGCCGCCCGTTACCCTGTCGGTTCGACAGTAGCCTGTAGTAGTGATAGAATCGGTTTCGAGACAAACTATTGTGATGTCAACATGCGGAGAAAAGAAAACTTCCTTTCTTTCGTTTCCTAATATGGTTCTAGTAAACGCTCGATACTTTTTTGTGATGTTTCCTAATATGTGATATATCGGAGTTGCCTCAACGAAGTGTCATGTCAGCCAAGCTGACACAAACCAGGGTGACACTCGCGAGGGGAGGGGACTCTTCCGGCATTAGCAGAAGCCTTCGGTTACCAGGATGACTGCCTGTCGCAAGCCTGGTAAGCGAAAACATTTTGACGCGAAGAGATTGGAATTTCCACCAGTGTCGTCGAGTGATTGGGCGTTGTGATTGACGTCACCTCACCTCACAGCCGCCGTCCCCCACAGGTTCGGCGCCTTCCCGAGTAGCAGCACCCCCTACAAGCGCATCGCGCTTGCCAAACCATATGCCAGACCCGCGACAGCGGATCGCCCTTATCACATCCAAAGCCACGGAGCGTGCCATGCGAGACATTCTGGTTACGTGTTTCTGTTGATGCGTGGTGCTGGCCCCTTCCATCGGAGCTTTGCTGGCTGGTTTGGGAAAGCAGATGCTTGGCGAAAAGTTAGCAGGTTCGGCTGAGGAGGCGAAGCCGTTCTGTCTCGCCCGCAGCCCTCGTTCTTACGCCCCATCGCAACTTCTACACTTCGCCAGCCAATCACAATCAAGCCCCGGAAATCGGCGCTTGAACTTACGGGCGAAAGGGAGCCCCGCACAAAACTCGACTTACGAAGCGCCTAATGGTGCTGATTCACTGTCAAAATCCGAAGTTTCTTTCTTGCACCGCACAACAATACCTCTTCATGGATTGCCGTCTAATTAAGTGCCTTTACCATGGCATCGCCAGCAGCCGTAACTTTCTCGACTCAGCTCAAATGCTCTGTGCGAAGTCATAATCTGCAACCAGAACAAGACTTCCCAGCAGTGATACTCTGAGACCTGCCGTTCAACTCACAACCCTCTTGCGATGATGAATGGTGCAGCTCATAGTGTAACCGTGCCGAAAAGGGGCGAAGCGAGCCCTTCGACGTATCACCCAGTGATGACCTCCTTAACTTCCCTGCCGCAGCTCAAGCCTCGCGACAAGCTGTTCTTAGCGGCGCGCTTCTTCGTCGTGGCGCTCGGTCTGCTCCTCATAGCTTACAACTTATTTAAGTCCTCTGCCACGCGGCACTCGCCTATTGAGTGGTTCGATATGAACGCAGTCAATGCTAAGCTAGCGGCTTCCGATGCTAATCTTTCCGTCAGGGTTTACCAGCAAGGATTTGCGGCTGTATCCCTACCTGCTGAGTCCCCACCGGCTGTTTCCTTACCGGCTAAATCACCACCGGTTGTTTCCTTACCTGCTGAATCCCCATCGGCTGAATCCCCACCGGCTGTATCCTTACCGGCTGAGTCCCCACCGGCTGTATCCTTACCTGCTGAGTCCCCACCAGCTGTATCCTTACCGGCTGAATCCCCACCGGCTGTACCCTTACCGGCCGAATCCCCATCTGTTGTATACCCACCAGCTGCATCCTTACCGGCTGAGTCCCCACCGGCTGTATCCTTACCGGCTGAATCCCCATCTGTTGTATCCCCACCGGCTGTATCCTTACCGGCTGAGTCCCCACCGGCTGTATCCTTGCCGTCTGAATCTCCTCCGGCTGTATCCTTACCGGCTCAATCCCCACCGGCTAAGCCCCCACTTGATAGGGATGGTCCTCTCGTGGCTTTCGATCGCGCTTTCGCCTATTTGATATCGTTTCAGCAAAAAGGTCGTTTTCCGTTCGTCAATGTCGCAACGTTCAATTTCGACCCCTCCGTTACAAGCGCCGCCTTCGTCGCCACGCGCTACAAGCTTCTATCGCTTCCCGTTCCGCCTGTGCCCGAGAAGCTGACGTGGCGCGACGCGTACCCCGTATGGGTGAACGAATCGCGCTCATCCTGCCCAAACATTCCTGAACCGAGCTATCCAGATTGGCTGACCAGCATCCACGCCATCGTCGCAAACGTGCCCTGCGACAAGCCTAGCGATTCCTGGGCGAAGGATGTTCGCTGGCTACACCACCTTCTCACTATAACAAGCTTCGTCATAAGGGTACTGTTCTCTATTGTCCCTCATCGATAGTGTACCAGGATCGTCGCCAGTTACCAGTGGTGCTACTATCCACGTGCTATCCATTCTCCCTCTCCCAACCCCCCTGTACCAGACGAATCGCCTGTGGTTACCAGAGACGCTACTTTCCACGTGTCATCCATTCTCCATATCCGAGAGGGAGTCTTATCCCACCTTATTTCATCCAATCCCCTTGTACTATCTCTCATGTAACAGGCGAATCGCACGTGGTTACCAGTGGTGTTACTCTCCGCGTGCCGCCCGCCGCCCAACCTCTTCCACTGCTCGCGACTCGCGACGCGGGAGGGTGACACGTGGCTGTACAACCTGACGGCCAGTGACATGCTGACACGTGTACAGCCCCTGGGATCATGCGCCATGGCTCAGCCAATCAGCAGCAATGTCTCAGGTAGTGCGACACGAGAGGAAGTGACGTCAAACCGGGAAATGAAGACTATGCACTTTACTTTCATCCGCCAAATCACCCGTCTCTTATAACTCCCCGCCTTCCACATCCTTCCCGTTCTCCCCTCCTCTCAGCCAACCAGCGCGTCGCGTATGCTACAGTGCTACACTCATCGGATCGCTATGTGTGCGGCGCGATGGTACTGGGGCACAGCATAAGGAGGACGGGGAGCAAGCACGAGATGGTTGTGCTTGTATCGAAGGAGATTAAAGAGGAGAGCAGGCGAGGGTTGAGGGAGGCGGGGTGGACAGTGAAGGAGATTGAGCGGATTCGCAACCCCAACGCAGTGAAGGGGACTTACAACGAGTGGAACTACAGGTTTGTGTGCTTATATCAAACGGAATTACAGGTCAATGTGCTTGTGTGCACTTTTCATTCTCCGCATTTCCATGTTAACCCTTTGCCTTTTGTTTTTTAGATCTTCGTGGGTGTACCCTGTGCTCTTTCACCCACCTATTGGTCTTTGTCAGCTAACTCCATAGCCTACTGTCTGTTTTGTCTTGTTTTCCTTAAATTTTGCTTTTGTAATTTCTGTTGCTCATTTCTTTGTTTTCTTGGTTCATCCTGACATTTGTTGACTCGTTTCCTACTCATCTTGACTTTCCTCCCCCCAGCAAGCAGGCGGAGTACGCCAAGCTGGTCTTTATTGACTCGGACCTGCTCGCCTTGACCACCGTTGACTACATTGACTTGTCTAGTCATCCCCCCTGCAACTTACCCTCCTGTCCCCGTCCCCTCCCCACCCCCACCAGCAAGTTGCGGCTGTGGCAGCAGACGGAGTACACCAAGCTGCTCTTAATTGTTTCTCTTGTCTTTACCAGCGTTGACTCCATTGACCTCTCTCTTCAATCCCTTTCTCCCCCCCCCACCCCAGCAAGCTGCGACTGTGGCAGCAGGCGGAGTACACCAAGCTGGTCTTCATTGACTCGGACCTGCTCCTCTTGACCAGCGTTGACTTTCTCTTCTCATACCCCGAGATCTCCGCCCGCGGAAACGACGGCTCGGATTTCAACTCGGGCGTGATGGTCCTGGAGCCGTCGGATTGCACGTTCGAGCTGCTGATGGAAAACCTGGAGAGCGTGCGATCGGCAAATGGAGGGGACCAGGTGAGTGAGACCATGATGCTCTGTGACCAGGTGAGACCATGATGCTCTGTGACCAGGTGAGACCATGATGCTCTGTGACCAGGTGAGACCATGATGCTCTGTGACCAGGTGAGACCAGGTTGCTATGTCATGTCATGTGACACCCTATCAGCCCCTTGGAGTGGGTGAAGGTGAAGTGTGAAGTTTGAAGTGTGAAAGTGTGAAGTGTGTAGTTTAAATCATTCCGAGTTGACTGTCAGCTCCCTAATTTCGATTTCCACCATTTCCCCCCATACTCCCCCCTGCCCAGGGCTTTTTGAACAACATCTTCACCTGGTGGCACCGCTTACCAGAGTCTATAAACACCCTCAAACCCGTCTGGACCTCTGACCCTGTGAAGAAAAAAGCAATCATCGACTTGAAAAGCAGGTGGTTTTCAGAAGACCCTTCGGAAATCCATGCTATACACTACCTTGGCATGAAGCCGTGGTGGTGTTACCGTGAATTCGATTGCAACGTGCTGATACCCGATTTTGTTGACTTCGCTAACGAGGCAGCTCATAAGAGGTGGTGGAGTGTACACGATTCAATGCCAGAGCCACTAAAGCAGTTTTGCTTGATAACAAGTGAAGCGGAGGAGAAGCTGAAGAAGCTGATTGAAGGATCCAAGCCAGCCCCATTGCCTTGATGACCTACTTTCTTAGGGTTAGATGATAATTTGGCAAACTAGGTTCTGGACATGTATCTCTGTCCTCCCTTGTATAAATTTGTATACTTACCCTGTTGGAGGTTGCGTGGGGGGGGGGAGGTTTGCCCCCAACCACCGAATGATGCTCACCTTCGAGTGAGCCGCAGATTTGCGTGGAGCTGAAGTTTGACTTTGGAAGACCAATCGATTCGGTGCCACATGGCAGCACCAGAAAGTTCGGGACTTGAAGGAACATTCGAATGTGTGAAATTCGAGTGTCAAATTTCACCCCTTCGAAATGTTACGAGAACATTCGCGAAGTGTATCGATGCGATGTTACGAACGCGGTTCGATGTTGATTGCATGCTATAAAACTAGTTGCTTTGTATTGCATGCTTCATACTGAAAACCTGAATCACTTTGTATGTGATACACTCGACTACAAAATCCAGAGAGCTCCTATCCTTTGTTCCAAGAGCACTAGCAAGCACATAAACGCCTGTAACTCTCTCGTTACTTAGGCGAATTGCGTGTATGACGGCTCGTTGGAAAGCCAGCAGTGTGCTCTATCGTTTAGTGCAAGTCCCAGTTCCTGCAAAATAGAGGAGAGTCCTCTACATCAGTGGTATCAGAGCTGGTCGGAGGAGTCTACGCGCAAGACAAGGAGCAAGCATGATGACGTCAAGCGAGGCCTCCCGCACTTCCTTGGATGGTGTCGTTGTAAATTCTGGCGAACCCTGGGCAACCGCGACGATGTTCGACACGTCTGCGGTACCGATTTTCACGGGACAAAACTACTCCGCGTGGAAGTTTAAGTTCCAAGTGCTCATGATGGAGCGGGGACTTTGGGGTTTCTTCGATGGAACGGAGAAGAAGCCGGAAGACGAGAGCGGCATCGCGGCATGGAAGAAGAAGGACCAAAAGGCGTTCGCTACGTTGATTTCGCGCATCGGCATCAATCTCGTGAGCTCGGTGCGCATGTGCATCAAGCTCGAAGCGTCGGCGCATGAAGCGTGGAAGCGGCTCGAGACTATCCACGTGAACAAGACTCTCCACGGCAAGATCCTAGCCCGAAATGCGTTCTACACGGTGAAGATGCACGCGGGCGAATCGATGCACGAGTATGCGACTCGTGTGGAGGAACTCGGGGAAACGTTCATGGACCTCGGTGGAACGGTCACGGAGGAGGATTGGATTTTGACCTTGCTATGCGGCCTTCCGGAAGAGTGGTCGACGGTGATTACGACACTCGATAGCGTGCAAGACACTTGGACGAAGGAAATGGTGGTCGGTCGGAATCTCCATGAAGAATCGCGTCACCGCCATGTTCTCCGGAGGGAGTTCCGGAAAGAAGTCCACGTGGAGCAAAGGTGCGACGAAGAAGTCGTCCGGAGGAAGCGATCGCGGCAAGGGAAATGCATCGAGCGGCACGAGCAAGTGCCACTATTGCGGCAAATAGGGACACTTTTGGCGAGAGTGTCGGAAGCGCCCAAGCGATTGGACTCCATCGATGGCGCGGGACCAAGAGGGCAACGCGCACACGGCATCCGGCGAGGCGGATGATACAAGGGATTTGCTCGTGTTAGTGGCCGGCAACGGGAACAAAGCTCCAAGCGACGCATGGTTCCTCGATACCGGCGCAACGCAACACATGACGCACTCGGCGTCGCTCCTCAACAACATTGGCGCTCCGGGAGACGTCACGAGCATCGTGTTCGGAAACAACGAATCGCTACCGGTGGTTGGAGTTGGGAGTACGCGCCTCATCGTCGATAGCGGACCGGTGGACGTCACGAACGTGCTTCACGTCCCGGGGGTGAAGGTGAACCTTCTATCCGTCCCGCAACTTGCAAAGAAGGGCGTGATCGCCACCATCGACGGCGCGGAGATGAACCTCTCTTGGAAGGGGGAGCAATTCGCGCAAGGTGTTCTCAACGGAGATATCTACCAACTCAAGACGTACCCGAGAGCGGCTTCATCCAACGTGGCGCAAGGCTCCAAGGCGACTCTTAAGGCGTGGCATAATCGGCTTGCGCACGCCAACTACGACTCGGTCAAGGAGTTGGCCAACAAAGGACTTGCGAAGGGAGTCGACGTGATCGCCGGCGACGACGAGAAGGGCGTGTGCGCGGCGAAAAATGGCTCGAAAGCCATTTGGTAGCCGTACCTCACCCCTCGCTAAGGACCCACTTGCGCTTGTTCACATGGACGTGTGTGGACCGATGCGACATGCATCAAAGGGAGGAGCGCGGTTCCTCTTGGTGATGCTCGACGACGCAACGCGGATGTGTTGGACCCGGCTCTTGAAGGCGAAAGGAGATGCGGCCAAGGCGATTCAAGAGTGGGCACTCGACGTATGCGACGACGGCAAGAAGCGGATCAAGTGCATTCGCACCGACGGTGGCGGCGAATTCGTGAACGCGGAGCTTGAGAAATGGATGAAGAGCAAAGGCATTAAGCATGACGTCACAACACCCTACACACCCCAACAAAATGGAGCGGCGGAGCGGCTTAATCGCACATTGGTGGAGGCCGTTCGTTCACTTCTTCAACACTCCAAGCTTGGGAACGAGTGGTGGGGAGAGGCGAGCGCGCTAGCGGCATGGATTCGTAATCGTGTGCCAACAAAGGTGCTACCGGGAACGACTCCGTTCGAAGCATGGACCGGAACGAAGCCAAACATATCCCGCCTACGCACCTTTGGGTGCCTTTGCTACTACCATGTCCCGGATCCCCTTCGTCACAAGTTGCAACCGAAGGCTCGTGCGGCAATCTACTTGGGAATTGCGGCAAACGAGCGTGCGTGGCGAGTGTGGGACTTGTGTGAAAGGCGCGTCGTCACATCTCGAGATGTGGTCTTCGACGAAGACAAGTTCCCGATGAAGGAACAACCAACGCCGCAACTCACCGTCGTCCTTCCCGCACGAGAGGAGGATGAAGCGGTGGAGGTTCCATCACAAGTGGAAAAGGAAGCCGAAAATGGAGGGGGAGAGAACGAGGAGAGCGACGACGACGTGGTGGAGGTGCCACCAACCGAGGCGGCAACTTCCTCCACACCTTCCTCCCTCCCATTGGCGTTGACCCGCGAGCAACGTATACGTTGCCCCAACACGAAGTACAACGACTACGCTATGGTAGCCGTTGGGGAGTTGAACGAGGAGCGTGCGGCATATTGCTTCGCAACCTTGGGTGATGACCCTCGCACCCATGTTGAGGCTTTGGCTTCTCCGGATGCGCCCCTATGGAAGCAAGCGATGGAGAAGGAGCTAGCATCGATCAAGGAGAACGATGTGTTCGAGCTCGTCGACCCGCCGAAGGGTGCCTACTTGGTGGGGTGCAAATGGGTGCTTAAGAAGAAGTTGGGAGCCGATGGGAGTGTCGAACGCTACAAGGCGAGGCTTGTAGCTCAAGGCTACACTCAACGGGAGGGGGAGCACTATAGCGAGACTTTCGCTCCCGTCGCTAAGGCTACAACTCTTCGGGTGTTGCACGCGCTAGCGGCATCTCTCAACCTCGAGGTGGAGCAATTGGACGTTTGCACCGCCTTCCTCTACGGGCTTCTTATGGAAGAAGTCTACATGCGGCAACCCCCGGGGTACGATGACGGTAGCGGAAGGGTGTGGAAGCTCAAGCGTACCCTCTACGGCTTGAAGCAAAGTCCACGCGGATGGTACAAGCGCATCGACGATTTTCTTCTTCAACACGGCTTCGCGCGTAGCGAGTGCGATAGCGCTTTGTACGTGTTGAAGGAGGGGGAGAAGCAATTGGTGCTTTTACTCTACGTCGATGACTTACTCCTCTTCTCCGACTCCAAAGACCTCATTCGGGAGGTCAAGCAACGGCTACGGGTGGAGTTTGCGATGAGGGACTTGGGGCCGGTCACGTGACCGTGACCGAGCCAACGGGACCATCCACCTCCACCAAGAGAAGTATGTGAAGGGGGTAGTGGAGAGCTTCGGCATGGGCGATAGCAAACCGGTGGGAACACCACTAGCTACGGGATTTTCTTGCCTCACGGGAGAGGAAGAATCCACCCTCGACGAAGCCGAAGGGAAGCGGTTTCATTCGCTAGTGGGCTCGCTCATGTATGCCGCAGTTTCTACTCGTCCCGACCTCGCATACGCCACCGGGGTGCTTGGACGAGTCGTGAGAAACCCTCATACCGAGCATGTGCGTGCGGGAGGACGCGTTCTACGCTACCTCCAAGGCACACCCAACTTGGGGCTCGTGTATGAAGCCGGCCCTATCGAACTCAAGGGCTATGCCGACTCGGACTACGCGGGAGATCCGAGCACGCGCAAGAGTACCTCCGGGTACGTTTTCACCTTGCTTGGGGCAGCCGTGAGTTGGCAAAGCAAGAAGCAACCAACCGTGGCTCTAAGCTCAACGGAAGCGGAGTATATGGCACTCACTCAAGGTGCCATGGAGGCAATATGGTTACGTCGTCTTGTAGCGGAGCTTGGGCATCCTCAACCCAACCCAACTCCTCTCTTTTGTGACAATCAAGCCGCCATAAGCCTCTCTCACAACGCGGTCCTTCATGGCCGAACCAAGCATATCGAAGTGAAGCATCACTTCATTCGTGAGGCGGTTGAGAAGGGTGAGGTCAAACTCAGTTACATAAGCACCAAAGCTCAACCCGCGGACTTCCTCACTAAACCACTCCCTAAGGATTCATTCCGTGCATGCTGTGAGCGTGTTGGATTGAACTTCTAGTGGCTTGGGTGCAAGGGGGAGTGTTGGAGGTTGCGTGGGGGGGGGAGGTTTGCCCCCAACCACCGAATGATGCTCACCTTCGAGTGAGCCGCAGATTTGCGTGGAGCCGAAGTTTGACTTCGGAAGACCAATCGATTCGGTGCCACATGGCAGCACCAGAAAGTTCGGAAGGAACATTCGAATGTGTGAAATTCGAGTGTCGAATTTCACCCCTTCGAAATGTTACGAGAACATTCGCGAAGTGTATCGATGCGATGTTACGAACGCGGTTCGATGTTGATTGCATGCTATAAAACTAGTTGCTTTGTATTGCATGCTTCATACTGAAAACCTGAATCACTTTGTATGCGATACACTCGACTACAAAATCCAGAGAGCTCCTATCCTTTGTTCTAAGAGCACTAGCAAGCACATAAACGCCTATAACTCTCTCGTTACTTAGGCGAATTGCGTGTATGTCGGCTCATTGGAAAGCCAGCAGTGTGCTCTATCGTTTAGTGCAAGTCCCAGTTCCTGCAAAGTAGAGGAGAGTCCTCTACATCATACCCTTCTGGACAAAAGTACGCAACTTCTGCAAGGTGGTCCAAGCAAGCTATCACGACGTTGCGTATGTGTTACGGGTGCAATGTAGCGAGAGGATTGCACAAAGTGAAGCAAATGTACGTAAGCGAAGGCGCGAACATTTATACTGGTATCGAAACATGCAAACGGCGCGGTGCGTACGAGCTAGTTAGTGTAACGCTGGCAGCGAGGGTCGGGTTCGTCCCGAAGCGTTCACCGACTCGGGCCAGTCCAGCGATGAATGGTTTGGGAATTCTGACGCGCGAAGGTGGCGAAACACCGTTAGCTGTAACGGGCGAAGATACGGTTGGTCCTATATGCGATGTTGAAATTCGCAGCAAGGAATTATAAAACATTTCTCTCTGTATGGTACGGTACTTTTTATCTTCTAACGACATGAGTTCAAGCAATACATCATGGTAAAGAAACAAATTCAGACACCCTCGCGTTACGCGGCAAGGCGTAGAAATTGCGGCTGAGGTAGGCTGAGAGGACAAAGACAAGCATCACGTCAAAGTATGCCGCCTTAACCAGGCCGCACTATCTCAAAAGCTCGAGCGGAGAAGTAGCGAGGAAATCGAGACCCGCATTGTACTGTATGTGGTTTAGTCGTATGGTACTGTAAGGCGCCTACAATCACGATGCGTAGAATACTTCCAGTTCTGCGGAACCCCTCCCTCCCCTGGATATGGAAGGCGCGAACCTGGGAGTTTTAAGACACTCGAAGGCCGTTGTCGCAGAGTCGCATCTGCGAGTGCAGCATGAATCACCTGCATGTGCAGCATGACTTGCTTGGGCTGGGAGTGCAGCATGAATCACCTGGGAGTGCAGCATGAATCACCTGGGAGTGCAGCATGACTTGCCTGGACTGGGAGTGCAGCATGACTCACCTGGGAGTGCAGCATGACTTGCCTGGACTGGGAGTGCAGCATGACTCACCTGGGAGTGCAGCATGACTCACCTAGGAGTGCGGCATGACTCACCTAGGAGTGTATCATGACAATGTGGAAGTGGTATGATCCCGGGAGGAACTGCAGCTGGTGCTTGGCTTCTGCTAACATGTCGCACTCCTGCACACGTGGAGCAGTATACGCATTGTGCCATGGGATGGTATAATGATGAGATGTGCATGTCAGAGGTCCACTAGTGATCCCCGATTGATCCTAGGGAAGGGTTACAGGCATGTTGGCCTGGGGGGTTATGGGCGCACTGACCCGCTACTTAACAAGCCCTTTTATCCCAATGGTCTAGTGGTTGGGATTCTGACAGTGCACTTGGTAAGCCGGACAGTGCAGTGGCTTCTGCACCACGCTCCCTTGAAATGGTCCCTCGGGACAGCATTACTCACGTTTTCCCTAGAGCATTCATCATCCACCCACACCGCACCACCCACGCCATCACGAAACTTGTGCATGAGGAATTCTTCTCCTTCAAGTATAAAGGTCTCGCAGAAGGCAAGTATATCCGAAAGAAAAATCACACACGGGCAGGAAGCACATGATCTATCCATCCTCCCTGCATACTCATCATCCAACCGTGCCATGATCGTCGCCGCCAGCTCAGCATGGAGTTCGTCCTCGTCAGCACAGCCGTACTTGATGTGCAGCACTTGGCGCGGCACCGATGGCATGTGGCGGGCCATGAGGGATGGTACATCGTTGAGGGAATGGATTGAGACGGGGTGGATGAAGCCGGGAATGGCGAGCATGGGGCAGTGGTGGAAGTAGCTGGTTGGAGGGGAGGGAATGGGGAAAAGAGGGGAGTGGGGATGGGGCAATAGCGAAGGGCAAGGGTCAAGAGGAAAAAGAGGGTTCAAAATAAGCACGGGGCATTGGGATGGGAGCGGGTAGGAGCATGGGAGAGCGCACGGCGCGGCAAGGAGGGAACGAGGCGGCCCATGAGGTAGGGGAGATCGTCGAGGGAGTGGACTGAGATGGGGTGGATGAAGCCAGGGATGTCGAGCATGGGGAAGTGGTGGGAGTGTCTGTGGGTCGGGGAGAGAGGGGGGGTGGGGGGGTGGAGCGGGGCAACAGCGAAAGAGAAGAAACGGGGTGGAACGGGGGTTCCAATAAGCAGGAGGGGGCTGGGAGGAGGGATGGAGGCAGAGCGAGGGAGAGAGATAGGTCATGGGCGTGCAGTGTTTGGCGCAGCAGGGAGAGTACGTGGCGGCCCATGAGGGATGGTAGGTCGTCTAGAAAATGGATTGGGACAGGGTAGATAAACCCGGGGATGGCGAGCATAGGGCAGTGGCGGAAGCCGACTTTTGAGGCGCCTCAAAAGTCGTCTCTTGTCTCGCGACTTTTATGTGGGGATAATTATAATTGCATAGAAGTGTGCGCGTAACCTTCAGCGTTTACTTGTAAGGGTGCGGTTACCAAAGGCACTCGCCAATTATGCTCTTCCTAGCTGGAATCTGGGTAGTTGGGTATATTGTATGTAGATCTCGAGGGAAGTCTAGCTACTTTACCTGCTACCGCACTCATTGCTCTTGAGTTCCAAACTGTGCTTGTCACAAAACATATTGGTAAGTTGCAGCATATTTCGTTCATAGCTATGTGTGGTGTAGGTGGTGTACAAGTTGTTATGCAGGGTATGGGAGTGGTAGTTGAGGACCTGGGGGATCACGCGAAGTTGGTGACTCAGAAAATTGCGAAGCGCATGTTGGGAGAATTCGAGGCCTAGGGAGACAGGAAATCGGCGAGGGCCAACCAGAGCCCAGGCGACTCCAGTGCAAGCACAGCTCCCTGAATAATTCGCGACAGGGGAAGCAAGTACTAGTAGTCTAGCCTAGCAGAGCCAGACCTGTTCTCTCGTTTGTTTACCAGTGCATAGTGGATATTACGTCACCGTTCTAAGCCTAGAGCAGCCAGGGTGACAAGGCCACTCTTGGTAGCCATCAGTGGGAGCACGGATCTCTCACAAATGAGTGAAGAAAGCCGGCGATATGGATCGTCACGAGCTGCGCTGGCAGCGGACGTATTCACGGCGGGAACGTTCTCCGTCGCGAGGCAGGCGTTCAAGGGAGCGTGGGAGGTCGCCGAGGCGCTCGCCGTGGAGGGCGGCGTATCGCGCCGACCTGGTGACGCCAGTGGGCGTGCGAGCTGGAAGACGCGGGGCGGATCTGCACGTCAGATCGGAGCCGGGAAGGCGGCCCGCCACCAGCGATCCGTGGGATCTGACAGGAGACCGGCGCGGAATGGAAGACGAGCGTCACCATGATGACGATGTGGACATGGATGTGTCGAGTGATAACGGCGAAGAAGAGCGCGACGAATCCCCCTACTGCGCGGGGAGGCAGGAGGCGCGCTGGCGCCGATGGCGACGAATCCCCCATTGCGCGGGGAGGCGGGAGGCGCGCTGGCGCCGATGGCGACGAATCCCCCACTGCGCGGGGAGGCGGGAGGCGCGCCGGCGCCGATGGCGACGAATCCCCCACTGCGCGGGGAGGCGGGAGGCGCGCCGGCGCCGAGGGCGACGAATCCCCCACTGCGCGGGGAGGCGGGAGGCGCGCCGGCGCCGAGGACGACGAATCCCCCACTGCGCGGGGAGGCGGGAGGCGCGCTGGCGCCGATGGCGACGAATCCCCCACTGCGCGGGGAGGCGGGAGGCGCGCTGGCGCCGATGGCGACGAATCCCCCACTGCGCGGGGAGGCGGGAGGCGCGCTGGCGCCGATGGCGACGAATCCCCCACTGCGCGGGGAGGCGGGAGGCGCGGTGGCGCCGATGGCGAAGAATCCCCCACTGCGCGGGGAGGCGGGAGGCGCGCTTGCGCCGATGGCGACGAATCCCCCACTGCGCGGGGAGGCAGGAGGCCAGAGAAGGTCGACAGGGAAGTACCTGCAGCCGCACGGGGTGGTGGAACGCATGGAGAAAGAGTGGGAGGAGGTGACGGACGGAGGAAAGAGGAGGGAGGAAGGGAGAGCGCGTACTTGCAGGACTATACGGGGAGGACGTGAAACACGGCTGGGAAAAGGAGGTTGAGCGCCAGGCCAAGGAGCGCCAAGGGAGAGAAAGGAGCCAGGACGCACCTGCTGGAGCATTCCATTCGCCCGAGCCAAGGCAGGGGTATGACCAGAAGCGCCGTATGGCGAGAGGCGATTGGATAAGCTTGGGACTGCCAAGGAGAGGAGAGCAAAGTGGTGAGGAAGAAGACAGCTGGAGATCACAGGCAAGAGGAAGGGAACATGGGGAGGAATACCAAGGGGGACGAGGGTTACCGCGCGCGTCAAGGGCAGATGATAGGAAGGGAGAAGACCAGCAGCGGCGAGAAAGAGTAGAGCGGGGGGGGCGATATCAGGGAAGTTCGCCTGCGAGGGAAGATAGGCAGTGGAGGGAAGCCGCCAGGCGCAGGGAGGTTCATGAGGAGGAGAGGAGAAGGAGCCCGAGTCCCAGGAGTTCGTGGAGGCCAGGGCAGGCAAGAGGAGGGTCCAGCGGAGCCAGAGCTGCAAGGGAAGGGATAGAACGGGTGTTATACGGGGGAAGCTCAGGAAGCCGGGGGATGAAGGAGCGCAGAGGAGAAGTCAGCCACACAGAGCGAGGGATAACAGGAACCTGGGACGTAGGAAGATGGGGCACTCAGGCGCCGCCTCGGGTGGAGGTGCCTGTGCGCTTTACGGGGAACGAGGGGACAGGCACTAACCTGAAGAACTACTTGATGCAAATTGGGAACGTCAAATACCGGTGCGATCGGGGAGGGATGGACCCCATCGACTTTTTTCTGAGTCTGCCCAACACCTTGGGAGGGGAGGCAGAGACTTTGTATCGCATGAAAATGCAGGAGTGGCTGAGGAGAGCAGAGGTGGATGGGAATGACCCAACAACTCTGTTCCTGGAGCGGTTGCGCAAACAGTTCCCAGGACACACGATGGACAGGATCAGAGAGTTTCAGGACTTCAAACGCAGGAAAGAGGAGTCGTTGCTAACGTACTACGGGCGACTCATGAATCTGGCCGAGGATGTGGTGTGTACCGATACGAGCATGCTGGTTAGTAAGTTCTTGGCAGGGCTGGATGACGGGTTAGCAGGAGGGCTAAGGATGAGGGTCTATGAGTTGGGGGCAGAAGCAACGCTGGAGGAAGTGTTTGAGCTGGCTGAAAAGGTGGAGCTGACACAAAGGCGTTACGAGGCATACCTGCCTAAAGCAGCAGAGAAGAAACGACCCACCTGGGCAGCTGCGATGATACCAGGGGCAGGAAGCGGAGAGGAGCAGCGGCAGGAGAGGAGGACAGATACTAGGACGTGCTACAGATGTGGACAGCCAGGGCACGTGAAGATGAACTGCAAAAACTGTGACACATGTGGCAAACCAGGCCACCGCCGGCGGGAGTGCCCTGATGCGCCGATCTGTGAAGTGTGCGGAAAAAGGGGGCATCAACAGAAAGACTGCTATCAGAAGACGGGAGGACCGAGAAGGTCACAGGAGGACATAGCAAACCAGATCGAGAAGCTGCAAGCGCGGTTGCTGGCGATGGGAGGCAAGAAGGAGAAGGAAGCGGGCTTGTATGCAAGAGAGGAGGACGAGGAGGAAAGGGAGGAGGAAGAACGGTTGCCAGAACACACCTTCTTAGCAATGCGCTGCCGCGAAAACATGGGTCTGAGGAGTGGGGGCAAGGATGGGAGGAAGGAACACATGGTGAAGGAGAGAGGGAGACCGAAGCAGAAAACTGAAGAAAAGAGTGAAGGGGATGAGGAGCCAGCCAGGCATCCCAAGGACCGACTAGCCAGCCAAGCGACGGTGCTGATGGCAGAAGCAGGAACAGTGACTGTGGGAGGGGAGATAGCGAAGACTGCAATCCTAGACACAGGGGCACAGAGCGTGATGCTGGGGAAACGGCTAGCACAGAAGCTGGGACTTACGGGACAAGGGCAGCACACAAAACGGGGAATGCTGGTTATGACTGCAGAGGGAGGCGAGCCCAAGTGGCTGCCGTGCACAAAGACTCCAGTGGAGATAGTACTAATGCCGGGGTGGGAAGAACAAACCAGCATACGACTACAGTGTGGGATCTCTGACTCCGAAGACTTCGATGTACTGCTGGGGACAGATCTGATCTGGGGCGTGGGAATGACCATTTGTACATGGAAGGAGAAGGTGAAATTTCGGAAGCAGTACTGGTATCGGGGGAGCAAGACAGGAGAGTTGCCCGTACAGTTCGTCAGGCAGGAGCCAAGAAGGGCGTACACAGCTGACCAGGTAGGGAGCAGGGAAAGAGGAAGAGCAGGATTAGTGGGCAAGGCAGCGGAAGCCAACGCTTGGCAGGAGCCGATAAAGCTGGTGGAGTTATTCGGAGGCATAGGTGCGGGACTGGCGGCAGTACTCAAAACGGGAATAGGTGTGAGGGAGTGGATATATGTGGAAAAGGATGAGAAAGTGAGAAAGATGGCTGAACATCATGCAAGGAAGCTGCAGAGGGAGTATCCGGAGCTACTGGAGGAAGCAGTAATAGCAAAGACAATGCGGGGGACATTGACTGACGTGAGGAACATCACACGGGAAGTGGTGCGGGGCTGGGGGCACGTGGACCTGCTGGTAGCAGGCTGGGAATGTCAAGCAGTCTCTGTTATAGTCACAATAGGCTTGAATGTGCCTAAAACGAAAGATAGAGAGCACAGACGGATTTCTGCACAGCGGCTTCAAACGTTGATAGCGTTCTGCTCACAACTGCAAATGACTTGATTCAAATTGGATCTGGAGCGTCTTCACGTCGTCTACAATTATCAATTTAGATTGCACGATTTGATAAAGAATTGACGACACAGCGTCGGTTTGAACGAACGGTACTATGGCAGCCACTATAGTCTTAGAACACAAGATAGGAAGAGTTACGAGTTGGGAATGACTCCCAGCTCCTACAAACCCCAAGAGCCGAGGTACAGTGATGTGGAACAGTGCCACACTGTCCCCAACCACGAAGGGTCTCGAAACTACCCTTCACTAGGGCCTACACCAAGTGAAATGTTACACTACACAAAGTAATGTAACTA